AAAAAATACAAAAACATTAGCCTTATATCACTGCTCTATTAATAAATTATTGTTATATATCTCCAAGGATCAAAATAATTAAAGAATTATATATGTTTTACTTTCCATATACATAAGGTAATTGCAACCAACCAGAGCTTGATTGATTTAGGGACAAGGTCAGGACCGAACAATTAATTTCTAATTTATTAAAAAAAGTAATTGGAAAGTCTCATAAAAATAAGGTTAAATGCTAATTTTTAGTTTTGAACTTTGTATTTTAAACACTTTTGGTCCCTAAATTATTTTCAACATATTTTTGTCCCTCAACTCTACAAATTGCACTTTTTTCTATCCTTTCATTAGTTGACAATATATTTTAGTTTGAGGTGAATGATAGGGTGGGGTGGGGTGGGGTGGGTAAGAAAGCCCTTTACTTTATTTTTTCTTTTAATTAATTTATTTATCCAATTGATGGAGGGGCATATCCTTCTATTTTCCTCCCCTCCCCTCTTCTCCCCCCTCTCCCCTCCTCTCTACTCCCCTCAAACCAAACATGGTATAAGTGATAATGTGGCTACTAACTCAATTCAAAGTGCAGTTTTTTGATGATGTGGCAATGACATGTCGCCAAATCTATTTCCTACCACTTCATTCTCCTCCTCTCATTTTGATAAGTTAAAAAAACTATAGCAGTTATAAGACAAAAATAAAATAAAAGACTTCCATTTCCCTTTTCTATAACTTTTTTGGCAACCAAATAAAGGAATTGTAATTCCCCTGCCCTGTCCTCCAACTAAACATACCCTAAGGGTTGGATCTATAGTAAATAATTGTCATCTTCTAGGCTTAGTGCAAGATTCAAGACTTAAGATTAGCATTTAAAAAAATTAATTTTCTTAAATACATCATATCGATGTATAGATTGCACCTTTAAGATTGTTTGAGAAATGATTAGTTTCAAGGAAATTAATTTTTTGGGTTTTGACCCAAAATTTAAATCCTAAACTTGATCGTAAATTTTGAATCTTAAACCTATAAGATAATATTTTCTTACTAGTAAATTAAACCCTTGTGATTAAAAATTACAATCTTTCTACTTGCCCTGTATTGAGAAATTAATTCAAGGGGTTAAACTTTGTTACACCAATGTTTTAAATCCCGAACTAGACTAGTTGGTTTGATTGATCGAGCCAAAACTGGTCTTAAAAATGGTTCAAGTTAAGATATTTAATTAATAATAGTCAAATCCAATCAAACTTGATCAACAATCAATAAAAACTGGTCAAATTCAATAAAAACCAGTCAAAACACAATCGAACTGGTTCATTTCTATTTGTTTTTACATTTTAAAATTTTTACATTTTCTTTAATTTTTAATTTTTATTTATTTTATAGATAATATAATAATCATTTAATTGTAAAATGAATTTAAAGTTGAATTACTACTAATGAATGAAAAATTTTAAATTAATTTAAATGTAATTAATTTAAATCGATTTTAAAAATAGATTATTTGGAATTAAATTCCTATTTCTAAGTTAGAGAATAAAATTAAGGGTGACAGTACAAACAATCTTTTCATATAATTTTTCAATTCAACTCCTATATATATCATTAAATAACTAAATATATATAATATTATGAGTTTTAATAAAGTAAGATCGAATCAATTTAATTTTGAAAATAAAATAAATGACTTCTTTAGTTAATGAAATAAACAAAATTAATTTGAAATTGAAAGTAATTTTAAGTAATTTTAGAAAAAGAAATTAATAAATAATAATAATTTTATACTTAATATGACATCAATAATTTAGATGGTTAATAAAAGAGAAATATTAGATATTTTAATAATTATTTTCATTAATAAATGTAAAAATAATCTTAATTATTTTTAAAATTAATTATGGGGAAAATAATTTTATAAGTAATAAATTTAATATAATAATATTTATTAAATATACCAATTGAATAAATTAATTTAAATGATCTACTCAAATGAATGAGCTGTAATCTAATGACCCAAACGAATCAACCACCAGTTTGGTTTTTAAAACATTCGATGCACATTTTGACTACTTGCCCGCAAAATCCAAATCATAAGAAATGGTGTACATAGAAGTTGCCTATCATTTTCTGATTTCAGTGGAAGCCTGGAAAGTATGCTCCAAAGTCCAAATCGTCCCAAAGCGATAACGAAGCACATAGAAATTGCCCATAATTTTTTCCCATTAAAATGAGGCTAAAGAGCTAGTATTCATTCACCAACTCAAGTGGGCAACTTTTCTGGTTTGTTCAAAAAAAAAAAAAAAAAAAAAAAAAACTCAAATGACAACTAAGAAAAGACATAAGTAGAGGTACACCGATTGACAGCTCGCCTTCATTCCCACCACCGTACCTAACGTTTCAAAGATTATCACCTCAAATCACAAGTCACAAGAGAAGGCAGGGTTGTGGCTGTGGTTATGTTCATCCCTCGTAATGTTAAGGACATAAAAAAATATATAAAATGTTATTTTAAAAAATATTAATTTAATTTAATTTAATTAATAAAAATAATTAATAATTAATTAATATGACAATTAATTCTTGTTAATTAATAAATTAAAATTAATTTAAAAAATATTTTTTAGGCATTATTTAAGAAAAGAATTGAACCATTAATAATCTTAACATTTTATATGATAAGCTCACAATTACTGATTAAAATGTTAAAACACCAAAAATTAGAAAATATTATTTTTAAAAATATTAATTTTATTTAATTTTATCGATAAAAATTATTAAAAACTATAATTATTAATCAATAATTTATAGAATAGTTAATATTTTATTAATTAACAAATTAAAATCAAGTAATAAATTGATATATGCAAATATTATTTTAAATAAATAAAAATTTAATCACCTTAACATTTTTCATAATAACAATAACCACACCAAGTGAATATCAACTACAGTTTCTTCATGGTCCTTCATCTGTGCAGTTTGAGGGGCAAGAAGGGGAGGCAAAGAAAGGGGAATAAATTGGGTGTGGTTATTGCCACGTATGAAAGTGTTGGGGGCCACAGAAATAATTTTTATTTCTTTAACTATTAATTCTTGTATTTGGATATTTTAGTCTGTTGATTAATTTTAATTTTTTAATTAATAAATATGAATTATTCTCTTAATTATCAATTGAGAACTACAATTATTAACTATTTTAATAATTAAATAAAATAGAATCAATGTTTTCAATACATTAAAAATTCTCTTTACTCCAATATTTTTGTATATGACAATAATCACACTTGATAAATCTTTTTATCTAGATGAAAAAAATTTAAAGCAAAGGAGAGGGGAGAAGAGGGAAGGAGCTTTCCTTTAATATTTGTTTTTATAATTTTTATATAACCAAGTAAGGAAAAAGAAAGGTAATAAAATAATAGTCTTCTCTCTCCTCCTCTGAAACCAAAATAGGAATAAATAAGTTTTAAGAATCAAGATTAACTTATATTAATGTAACATACATTGTTAATAATTCTGTTTACAATTTTGTTTTGTCAAACAACTATTGGATTTAACCCAGAGGTCGGATTTTAAGATGATATGATATTTGTAACCATAAAAACAAGGAAATTTTATTTTTTATTATTTATTTAATGATTTAAAATTAAATATAATTTTAAAATAATTTAACATATCTAATTAATTTAAAATTTAACAAGTATAAGATATACAAATAGAACAGACATAGAATCATTAACATTAATAGATAATAATATAAATTATACTAGTATAAATTTATCCTTAAGATTTAATTTTTGGAAGCAAAAAATTTTCTTGATATTAAAAAACGACAAAAGAGATAAAGTTATGCTATAGTGGGATCTCGCCAGTCACCAAAAGGCACATCAATTAAAATAAAATTAAAATGAAGAAGCTGACTTTTCGTGTGGTATGATGTGCAGGAGTACCATTTATTTTTCCATTGATATAAAATTCAACACAAAAATAATTCCTCTCCCCTATATATTGCCCCACATGCTGTTTCTTATCCATCACAAAAATCTTCCTCCTTTTTTGCTTGTTCTAAGAATGGAGCAGATGACTTTATCTAAACTGGTGCTACTCTTTCTGAGTTTCTCTTACCTCCTCCTTCTGCACCCTTGTCCTAGTGAATCAGTTCCTACATCAAGTAAGGATCAGCTCTTAGGTTAAAATTAAGAGAGAGTTCAAAATATTTTATGGATTTGATGTGTTTTTGTATTTGGTTTTTAGGAAGCCACCTCAAGCAAAATAAGGAAGACGCATCCTCTGTTCAAGATTTGTTTTCTCAGGTTTCTCTTCTTCTCCTTTCTCTTATTTTTAATTCTTCAATCATGTCTAATGTCTTGAAGGTATAAAGATGGAAAGATTTCAGATTTTTTTTTTTTAAGTTGGAATTTTTAAAATCAATTTCCAATCCCAGATCAGATGGGTTTAAAACAAAAAGTTAATTTTCCCAACAACTAAAATGAAGGATCAAGCTAGCACTAAACTCCCTCCATATCTTTATTCTTCTTCATTTACATATTGCTTTTTGAACAAAATTGCTTTACACTTTTGCAGGAGGCAATGGATGTGACTGAGGAACTTCTTGGAGAAGAGGAGGGGTTAATTGAAGGGAGGATGTTGAAAATCATAACCGACTATAGCGGGACTGGAGCCAACAAAAACCACGACCCCAAACCCCCAGCAGGAACTTGAAAATCCAAAACTAATAATTTGATCATATGTAGACCAAAGAAAATTAAACTCATAGTATGGATATCGATCTTCGTTTTCGGAAGTCTCCTATGTCTTTTCTAGAATATTATGCTTTTTACACATGACCCTACCAAGGTTGTTTATCTGCCTTGAGTGGAATAATATCTGACTGGATCAAGAAAGTGAGTGGAGGGACATCACTTTCAAATGAGAATGTTGTGGATCCATTTTTAATTATAATCTACCGTAGTTTTTAGTATTTTTGTGCTTCATTGTCCGATTATTTTGTTACTTAAGTTGTCCCTATTTCTGTAGATGCAGGACGCGCTCTAGATTATTACTTCCTATGTAGCAGAGAACAATCCCAGAATAATATTTCCTCCATTTATTTTTAATAATTTT